CGATTCCGGACATACGCCCAAGTCCCATATTTTCCTACGGACCCTCCGGGACAGTCAAACCACGGGTCCCGGTCCGTTTCCCCAAAATATTGACCGAAGTCAACTTAATTCATTTTAAACCCAAATTTGTATCATTTTTCACAGATTTTCACATATGAACTTCCGACTACACGCCCAGACTACGCACGCAAATCGAGGTGATGCTGAAAGAGGTTTTTAAGGCCTCGAAACACAGAATTTAATTTAAAAATAAGTGATGACCTTTTGGGTCATCACAATTATTGTCATGGAGTAGTTCAAAAAGCTCCAGCAAATTCCGAACTGCATAGGTTGGTTTTTGACAGCAAAATAAAGGTGCAATAGAAATTCGAGGTAAGATGAAGGGCACACCTTATTTGGAAAATTTGAGAATGATTTTGTAAATTTGGGTGATACCCTTTTTTTTTTTTTTGCTTGAGCCCGACCGGGTTGGATCCGGTCCGGAGCAAGTCGGGGCCATCGAACCCGACCTGGATGCAAGGTAGAACGACGGCCACGTCTACAACCGAGGTCGAGTCATTTCGAGACCGTTACAGAGCTCGAAAGGAATCACCACCGGATGGAGAAACACACAAGGTCGGAAGCCGGGCTCGTAACGGATAACCAAGCGTCGCCGGATATCTCGCCCAAACGTGATTTTCTCAACCACTTCAGGCCATTAAGGCGTAATTACAGGGATCCACGATGTAATCAATTTACCTACCTTATTTTTACCCTTAATCAGAATGTATAAATGGGTATCTCTCTAAATTCTTGTGGATCATGAAGCACAATTGTTCTAAGCAATATTATATTCTGCAATTATTTACTTTAACAGCAATTGTTGATTCTTTATCTTTATTTTCCTTAACCTAAAAACCTTTTGTATCTTTTAGTTCACGGATCCTTAAAACCCCATATAAATTCAATTGTTATCCGGATTCGAGGGTAAACAAAGATATCAATAAATCAGTCATATATCAATCAACCAGACTTATATCCCAAAGTTGTTGGTCTTGGCCAAGTGAAATCCTATCGTATTCCATTCCATTACTAATACTTTTAAAGAAAAATTAGGGTTCTTATTAAAAGTTCTCTAAATTTAATATTTAACCCTACCTAAACCTATTGTAAGTTATAACATTAATAACTGAACTTCAACATTATAGCATTTAGTATTTGGATAAGTTTGCATTTATTTTAGGTCTTTCTCTACAACTTACTTCATTTGATTTTAGGTCTAAGTCATTCGGATTTGGATTTATAATGTTACATCTACCAGTACATATATCCATCGATAGTTTAAAGAAAAAAATTTTACACAATCACATAAGTTTCTAATATGAATATATATGGGTAAATTATTTGAAAAAGAACAAAGGGAGTAACATATTGTGACGTATCAAATCAAAGTACATTAAATTAACATGTCAAACTATTTACAAAAGTCGATGGATAAAAACATATTAAAAATTAGAAGAAATAAAAGATTGATGATTATAAAAGAACAAAAAAGAAACGCCCTAGGGTAGGGGGAGTTAGTTAGGAGCGGACCACTGACCAAACTTTGATATTCCTGCAACTACAAGCTTGTGATTGTGGACCTAGCAATTGGTAATATTGTTTGGGGGTTGGGACCCCTTTAACCTCTCAGGTGGACAAAAAGAAAAAACATCCTTTTTGGTCATTTTCATGGTTTTCCAAATTAACATTAGTGGTAGGTATGGCCTTGGATTTGCTTGCCAATTGAAAGTACTCACAGTAAACTCACTGCATATGCATGTGCTGTGGGCGGATTTAGGGGCGGGAAGGGATTCATCCGAATTGTCCTCGTCAAATAATCATACCGTACATATAAGACAAAATTTATTTTATATTATTACATATTATATTTTAAATCGCGTTGACACAACCCAAATATAGTTTAATGGTCAAGGGGTTCAAAAACTTTATGAAGTCACTATTTCGATTTTCACTGGCCACAGTTTTTTTAAATTTTTTAACTTTTTCTTTTTTTAACCCCTTAGCAAAATTCTGCCTCCGTCACTGTGCATGTGCATTTTCTTTTGGTTTATTAGTTGGTGTCTAGTACCCGTTTTGAGATCTGATTAATCCGAATTCACGTCGGAAAATCTCACTTTAGGCGAAAAACATTCTTATAAAAAATGACTCAATAATAATGAACTTTTTATGTACACCGGCGTAAATCTGAATTAATTGAACTAGTAAGGTTCGAGTACATAATGATTTGACAAAAAAAAAAATGGTTTACAGCTTCAAAGCAGCTTCTTTGTAAAGTTCCTTTCTTTTGTTCTCAGATTACAATGTCGTCCGACTTGCTAAACCAAACAAATTTTCCTAGAACTTGTATAGCTAAACTCCAACTTAAGGATTTGTCATGTACTATATATTCTCTTCCCTACGTAATTTACCTAGCTAACTCAGTTTCATTTATTTTTTACATTGAAACAACTAATTACAGAGGGATTGTAAAATTAAAATTTCTAAGAATTAACTTAATAATCGTTAACCTAACTGTTTAAACAAAAAAATAATCGGAAAATATTTAATATAAGTATAATCTATGTATAATATATGTATAATTGTGTGTAATCGGTATATAAATAACGGCTTAGAAAAGTAAATAACCAATATGTCTAGTTATTTATGTACAGATCCCAAATAATCTAAAAGGGAAGTTGAACCAAAGATAGAACTCCCATCTTGTATTCTTTTGTGTGTGTGTAATTAAGGTTGATTTTTATCAGCGTCTTCTCTTCTCCTTCCTATGAAATCTATGCTTATCGTCTTTCTACTTGAATCCATTAGGATTAATTTTAGTAGGTTTTTATTGACCAAGTTCCCCTTTACTTTATTTATTCTTTTTTATTTAATTATTCAATATTTAAACTCATTGATACGACCAATTTGTGCTACATTCCCTTGTTTACTTGGATACTTAAAAATGGCTAGTTATTTCTTCATTTGTTATTTTTATTTTATATGCAAATTTCATCGAAGTACTCTTGTGCACCTACGTTATTCGGCTCACGCAAAAGACCGCCCTCTTATGTTATGGAAGAATTATTCATAGTCAGCAATTAACTGTGGAATTTTGTTCCGCAACTAAAAGAAGATTATTTCGGAGTTACTATGATGTGGGTGAATGTGGAACAGTCTGCCCTTATAACCTTTGATAAGTAATTATTAAAACTTTGAAAGATGGTCAAGAACTAAGAGAATATGAGTCACATATCATCCCAACCAAAAAAAATTTGGAAAGTTTAGATTGTGGATTTTATAGTGTTGATTTTTTTTCCTTTACACAACTCTCACATCATGACCAAGTCATCTACTCCTCTTATTACTTTAATATTCTTCAAAACGAACTTGTAAACTGAAATATTATATTTTTAATAACCCACTGAAGTTAGCAATAATTATGTAAGAGCGCTTGTTTAAGGAAAGCAAAACAGATCAACATAGTGAAAATGACACAACAACAGGTGGAATTATTATAGTTAACTATATTATTATACCCCAATCTCTAGTTAGTTGGAAATGACTGTATGGAATTCTTTGTATTCATCTTACTATTCCGGTACAAATAATATACTGAATATTTAACCGAATTAGGCTATATTTAGTTTAGTTGTTAACCAATCACAACTCTCCTTTATCCTAATTATAATTCTGTTATACTATGAATTAAGGAAACTTACCTAGATGGAGTTGTAAAACGGAATTCCATAAAAGTAATATTTAGCTATAAAAAATTAGAAAAAGAATATTATCTTAACCAACCTGCGCTTGTTTTAGACAACGGACATTATTGTATACTTTTAAAATGTCTGATTTCTTTCTTTCTTTTCTTTTTGTTCTGTAAGGTAATTCAAACATTATATCTGATTATCCAACTAAAAAATTTCACAATCATACCCAAAATTTGAAAACTTTAAAATCTAGGATGATGAGCTTTATAATTTATTTTAATCCTTCCTTTACAACACTCCAATGACCATGTCACATACACCAAACTATTACTTTAATATATTTTTTCAAAACGAACTTGAAAATTGAGATGTTGTTTTATTGGATTGGCTTAGCTTACTTGGCGAGTCCCTATTTTCATAATTGAGATGGAGGATTCAAACCTCATTAATAGGATAGAATTTCGATAAAAATTATCAGTGCCAACTTATATCAATATTATCATGGTTACATGATTTAATTCCGTGAAAATGTATATTGAATAACCAATATCAAGTGAGACAAGCTTATGTGCAAATATAATATCATACATCTATTGATTTTGTATAAACAACAACAATAATAAAATATCCAGTATAATTCTATAAGTTGGGTCTAAGGAGGGTAGTGTGTACGCAGATCTTATCTCTGTGTTGAGAAGATAGATAAGTTGTTTCCAATAGACATTCGGCTCAAAAAAATTACAAAAAATGCAACATACAATTATGACAGCAAGATAATAAGAAAAACGAAGCGAGAGAAGCAACATGTAGTAAGTAGTAACATAAATCTAATAAAATAAGAAAATACAAGGCTCACGACTATTTACTATCATTCTACTCTAATTTTCGACATCCACACCCATGTCCTCGATAAACTGAAGCAGCGTCATGTCCTTCCTAATCATCTCCCGTAATAAAAAGAATTTGGCCTACCTCTACCTCTTCTCAGACCCACCGATAACAACCTCTCACACCTCCTTATAGGGACATCTGTGCCAACATAAATTAGTTTTTACCCCTAGCATCCCCTTTTCCCTCTCCACTCCTTATGTAATTAAAAAAAAATTAAAGAAAAAGAAATGTTGTACTAATAGGCTAGTGAAGTAAGCAATAATTATGTTTAAGAGCCCTTGTTTAAGCAAAGCCCAACAAAAGCAAGATAGTGATAGTGACAGTGTGTAGAAGGCTCCTCATTTAAGCAAAAGCAATGCTCCCATAGCCCACCAAATATACTTCTTGCGCTGTTTTTTGGTCTACTTTTGTAGCCTCACTCTCTACCATCATTGTTCCCTCTCCATTACTCATATTATTATCCAACCTTCCCCACTTCACAACACTTACATTTCCATTAATCATTGTCCACCTTCACTCTTCTAATCAACAAGATTCTCCATTTTCCTTTTATCTTTTTCTTTAAAAAATTAACCCCATTTCTTGTTTTTCATTTTTACCCCATTTTCAGAAGCAGACATGGTTGAAGTTGAAAAAACCTTATGGATAGACCTGTGTCACACAATGACAAAAAAGATGTCTCTTTGGAATTTCAGCCACAGCTCAAGCATTTTATTCCACTAGAGCCTTGTACTAAATCCAAGAACCAAACCCATTTTTCTGCATTGAAATTTAAGGTTTCAAAATCCCTTAAAAATCTTTATCATAAAGCTAAAGTCTCAAACTTTGGTAGTAAAAGGTTTGAATTTGATGGCATTGTGATGACCAACTCTGTTTATTGTGCTTCTCCTGGTTTTCTTGATGATAACATGGAGGTTTTGTCTGATAATTATGGGGAAAATGGTGGAAAGATTGGGTCTTTAATGTGTTTGAATGCAAAGATGATAGGTAGAGAGAGCTGTTCAAGTTCTGGTTTTTTGGTGTCAGAGGAAACTGTGAATGAAGAAGAAGATAGTGGGTCTGAGGATTCATGTTCTCCATCTTCAATTGTTTGGCATATTGAGGAGAATGAGGTCCGACAGCATTGTGCAAATTCTGATGTTTCTGAAGAAGTAGAGAAACCGTATGTGGATAAAAGGAAATTAGAGAAACAAGGGTCTTGTTTGTCTGGTAAGATTTTGTATATTCTTTCTATACATATGTTCTCGTTCTATTTTTGCATATAATGTGGCTGTTCAACGAAGGGCGTAACGGGTAAAGTAGCTGCCACGTGACCAGGAGGTCACGGGTTCAAGCCAACCTCTTGCAGAAATGCTGCGTAAAACAGCACTGGGCTGCCCTTTAATGTGGCTGTTTAATAAACTGGATTTTGGTGTAGAGATTGAAATGATGAAGGAAAGATTTTCAAAATTGCTGCTGGGAGAGGACATGTCTGGTTGTGGAAATGGGGTTTGCACAGCACTAGCAATTTCAAATGCTATTACTAATCTATGTGGTATGTTACTTTTGTTGTGTATTTGATTCTATTTTAATTGTGTGGATTTGGTTTATAGTGACTAAGTTGTACATTTCTTTTACTCATTCCTCCTTTTGTTACCATTAGCTACTCTTTTTGGGCAAATTTGGAGATTAGAACCTTTACCTCCAGAGAAAAAGTTAATGTGGCGTAGAGAAATGGAATGGCTTCTCTGTGTTAGTGATCATATTGTAGAATTGATACCCTCTTGGCAAACATTTCCAGATGGAACCAAGCTTGAGGTAGGTCTGGTTTCTTTGAAGTTGTTCTTGTACTTTAAGCTTTCTACCACTGTTGAAAGTTCTGCTCCTTTGGTTCGAGGACGTAACGGGACTAATGTTTTATACCAATCACTTTATCAAATGTTTTGGAGGGGTGCCTTGGAGCAACGGTAAAGTTGTCTCCGTGTGACCTATAGGTGTGACCTATAGGTTACAGGTTCGAGCCGTGGAAGCAGCCACTAATGCTTGCATTAGAGTTGGCTGTCTACGTCACAACCTTTGAGTGCGGACCTTCCCCGGACCTTACGTGAATGTGGGATGCTTTGTGCACCGGGCTTTATCAAATACTTGGAGCTTTTGAAAATCACTTACATTTTTACTTGTAATTTTGAAAATGGACTGTGGTAATGTGTTAATCTGTTTTCTATTTTAGATCATGACGTCTAGGCCGCGGTCAGACCTTTATATCAACCTTCCAGCACTTCGTAAACTCGACAACATGCTTCTTGTAAGATAGCCATTCTTTTTTCTTTTGAAATTCAGTCTTTATTGTTGAATGCTGAATGTTACGACATTCTAAATTATTTGCCTCTTTCACAGGAGATATTAGACAGTTTCAGAAGCACGGAATTTTGGTATGTTGAGCAAGGGATCTTAGCTCAGGAATCTGATGGGTCGTCCTCTTTCAGAAATCCTCTACCCCGTCAAGAGGAGAAATGGTGGCTTCCCGTACCTAGAGTTCCCTCCGGTGGTCTCAGTGAAGATGCAAGAAGGCAATTGCAGCACAGACGTGACTGCACAAACCAAATACTGAAAGCTGCATTGGCTATTAACAGCAATTCCTTAGCGGAAATGGATGTGCCCGAGTCATATTTAGAAGGCCTTCCTAAGGTACAGGACTACAATTCTTTTAGCTGATGTTTGTATACTACAATTCCCCTCCAGTTTACTCAACTTGCAGTTGTTTAATTTTTAATCTTGCAGAATGGAAAAGCTAGCTTAGGTGATCTTATCCACAGATATATCACCTCGGATCAATTTTCACCTGAATGTTTGCTGGACTGCCTTGACTTGTCTTCTGAGCATCAAGCATTAGAGATAGCAAACCGAGTGGAGGCCTCAATTTATGTGTGGCGTAGAAGAACTCACTCAAAACCTTTGAGTGGTGCGCATAGGTCCAGTTCAAAGTCCTCGTGGGAAATGGTTAAGGATTTGATGATTGACGGTGATAAGAGGGAGTTGCTTGCAGATAGAGCTGAAAGCCTTTTGCTTTGCCTAAAGCAACGTTTTCCTGGTCTTCCACAGACAACCTTAGACATGAGTAAAATTCAATATAACAAGGTTTGATACGGAATTCTCACTCATCCATTACTTTTTCTTTTCTAAGAAAAGAACTTTTTTCTCTCATCACCAATCATGATTATTGAAATTTAATGTTTCTTGTTGTTCCTTAGGATGTTGGAAAATCTATTTTGGAGAGCTACTCAAGAGTTCTTGAGAGCCTGGCGTTCAATATTATTGCACGCGTTGATGACCTGCTTTATGTGGATGATTTGAATAAGCACTCAGATCAATTTGTGCCAGTTTCCAAAGTCGGTATCATTGCTCATAAGAGCATGGGAACTCCACTCGCTGTACCTGTCAATGGCACTCCATACAAAACAGCTTTCACCACACCAAGCTTCTCTCCTTCCCAACTTATTAGTCCAGCAAAGGGAGAAAGATCCAAAATCCTCGATAGCAGCAAGCTTTCTCAACGAGGGTTTGGTGTTAAAAAGGTTTTGACTGATTATTTGAGCGTTGATTCAAAAGGGAAGGACTTCAGCAGCAGTGATTTCAAACGATCAGATTCATTTTCAAGCACTACTCAAGATGTTTCAGCAACCGCGTCAATAGGCTCTTCAGAATGTTCAAGAGAAATTTCCAGCCCATTGACACACGACTCGCCTGGGAAAGAATAATAAAGATCAGTACTTGATTATATGAATGAACTCCTGTATATTTTCTTCTGAAGAAAGATCCTTTTATGCATGCTCTCATTTATGTAGAGCCATGTATTTGAGTGTGAGATAGGTTTTAGCATATACTCCCACTATTTAGCCTTCATTTATCAAGATATCTTTATGGTCATAAACCAACATCCTCTGTTATTTTGCACTTCCTCAATTGTGCAGTCTTGTTCCTAAGCTAAATTCACTTATGAGTCAGATGGTAATGTTACGACAGATTGTGCACAAGAATGTTGTGGGTACTCCTGTACCATGCATAATTATCAGCCAGTGGCGTGTAAATTTGATTTTTCCTTTTAATAATACTACCTAAAGATTGCATTTGTACCAAGAATTTTGTTCAACAAAACTCTCAATTTGTTGATGTCAAAAGGATTTTTACAAAAAAGGATAGAAGTGCAAAAATAAGTAGTGGCAGCAAAATATATTATTAAGGGGCATTCCGAGAATTGAACTCGGGACCTCTCGCACCCTAAGCGAGAATCATACCACTAGACCAAATGCCCTCCGTGTTGTCTCTTAAACATTGGTCTTTTTTAAACTATTTAATCGTTTTTAGGATACAGGTCAATTTTGAAGAAAGAGCAAAAAAACTCAAATGCACTTGAACTGATTCATTGAATATGGTACAAAACTATTGGAAGTGAAATGCACTCTTTATCAAACTTTGAATAAAAAGAATGCAGACAATTCTTGAATTTTAAGCCAAGTAATATTATTGTGCTTTCATTTGAGAACTTTTAAAAATCATATTAAAATATCAAATAGTAGTACCTCCATTCCAATTTATGTGAACCTGTTTGACTGAGCACAAAGTTTAAGAAAAAATGAAGACTTTTGAAATTTGTGGTCCTAACCAAGTCAAAAAGGGGTCCAGAGTATTTCTGTGGTTATAAAAGCTTCACATTAAGGGTAGAATTGTAAGTTTAATCTAAATTGTTTCCAAATTTAGAAATGGATCATTCTTTTTGGAACGGACCAAAAAGGAAATAGGTCCATATAAACTGAAACGGATGGAGTATTATTTTTAAGATATTTGACGACTGATATTATATCACATTTAGGTTTCTCAAACGTCATTGTCTTGTCTTTAGATATTTTTAGTAATAGGGAATAAATTTTTGTTCACACCGGGTGTTTACATCAATCCAATAAATACATAAAACATATTATAAGATCATAGTTAATTAATACACATTCTTACCCTAGTTTATCACTTAACCATGATAAATTAGTATAGTTTGATGCAAACGTCTGGTGCAGATACATTTTACCGTTTTTATGAAGGGGTTTAGTTTGAACTAACGCTCATATGAACTTTTATTTTACTTAATAAAGACATAAGTTGTTTTGAGATTCACATTTTTATCACTATATGTTCAAACTTTTCATTTGCGTATCGTTATTAACTAAAGTTTCGCTAAATCTAAGTTAATCACGACAAAATTGACTTTTCTTCCCTTGATTATTTCAAATTATTTACTTTGGCCAAGTAAAGATGCCTACATTATTGTATCTTCGCAATTCTATTTATTCTTCCTCTCTTTCTATTTTTAGGGATAGCTTTCTGACTAGGTGTGGATATCTACTTGAGCTAACACCTTATAAGCTAAGAATATCTCGGAAGTATTAATGGTTTTCTGAACCTGCTTCATTCCTTAAACACATATGAAATTTCACATTAATTACATATTATGTATGTGTATTATATTTAAGCGTGTGACAGGGCAAGGTGCATGGTTGTGATAGGTATAGAGGGAAATTCATTCTCTGATAGGGGTGTGCATTTGATTTATCGATTTGATTTTGACCCTTATCGATAATTATTTATCGATTATCGATTTGTACATATGCTTATCGTTATCGTTTCAATAAGGTTTCGATTTTTTCGATTTCGATTTATCGATTTTGGGGGCTTATCGATTCGGTTATCGAATTACACCAATAAGAAAATTTGCGGGATTCCACGGAAAGTATATCGCTATAAACGCGCCTAACTAATATGGACAAAAAGAAGCTAAAATAAGACGAACACCATTTATAATATAAAAATTATGTCAACAAGCACATGCAACAAAACTAAAGTAAGGGATCAAATGTATGCCACCAACACTCCAACGGTATAATAAAAACAAAACAAAACAAAACACATCATCACGGCTAATTCTGTTTTCCATTAATTTGAACTTCATTCCCTTGATCTTTAAATATGATCATTCCTTAAATGTGGTAGAGGAAATAATAAGGTAAGGGACTTAGGGTAAAGGAAAGGGTATAGATTAGGGAAAATAATATTGTATAGCCGCTTTCAAAATAGTAGCGGAATATATATACATTTTGTATGTTATATTAATCTACACAAATAGGTAATTACTCATTTAACAAGTGTCTACAGTCTAGGGATGTGCATTCGATTTATCGATTCGATTTTGACCCTTATCGATAATTACTTATCGATTATCGATTTGTACATATGCTTATCGTTATCGTTTCAATAAGGTTTCGATTTTTTCGATTTCGATAACAAATAATCGATTCGATTTATCGATAAACCGATTCGAATGCATACCCCTATTCTCTGAAATCAATAGACTGAAAGTCTTGAGTCCACTGAAGTTATGATCCAAAAGTAATATTTATAGTAATACTTTCTAAAAAAAAAATCACATATAATTTTGTAGTTGTGGTTGCTAGGTATACTCTGTGATGCTTCATCTCCCAAGAAACATTGATAAATCATAAAAGCAAGAGCATATCAGATTAATGGCGTAACATTTTGTAGTATTTTATACTTAGTATGTTATATAGATACTACGCGTTGGAAAACAACAAGTCGTTGTAGTATAGTGGTAAGTATTCCCGCCTGTCACGCGGGTGACCCGGGTTCGATCCCCGGCAACGGCGTTATTTTTGTAAAATTTTCATTAACATTGATCTCCAATCAAAACTCCCTGTTTGTTACATCATTTTCTGTCTATCTTTGTTGTTCTCTCCTTTTTCGGTAAAATAGCTCTGGGAGACAAGTTCAGAGAGTTGTGAAGCTATTAAGTACAAAATAATTTCAGAGACACTGAAATAGATTAGAGCTACTTAACAAAAACATATGATTTCCTCCCAATTATAAGATTGGAGGTGTTGTAACTTTATTTCTTTGTTTAGTAGTTAACCATTTCTCTATTTGTGCCATGTCAACGTGCGCCACATTCAACAAATTAAGGGGTGTCAATCGACTCCCCTTCTCCAAAAAATTACACTGTATTGCTAGATAAACTAGTCTGTTTTATGTATATTGACTATATGTTGACTCCCCTTAACTTTTCGGTGTATCTAATTTTTATAGTTTGACATGCCTTAGTGAAAATTCTATCTCCGCCACTGCTTGAATGTATGCAAGGAGCAGGCAATGTTTTTTGTGTGTTTCTAGTCCGACCCTATACACTATTTATGTGCAAAAGACAAGTATAGATAGAGAGATACATCATAAAAGAAATTAGTCTTTTAACTCAAAAATTCACAACGTCTAAATTCTGAATCTACCATCAGGCAAGTCATATGGAAGTTCTTCTCCTGAAATTGCCATTACCATTTCCAAGCGCTGCAGTTATGCAAACCGTCCAGTAGGCTATAAATGTGGACATAAGTCTTTACACTGTCGCTCGTGCTATATAAGTTAAATCCTTTTCTGATTCATAAAACAGTCTATCTGCTTTTTACTTCTCCATATATTTTTACCTAATGCAGGCTTCCAAATTTCTGCATTTTGCAGGACATACTCTGCCTTTTGATGTTAAATCGACCGGTATCAATTGAAGGTGATGATGAATGTATATATGCTTAGTATATTGTATTGGGAAAAATTGAATTCACATATTGAAGTGATTGAAAGATGACGTGTCATGACATGAAGGCTGGTCAAAGAGTGATGATTAGCAAAGAGGCACGAGTTGCAACATATACGAGCAGAGGCACAAGTAGAGGCACGAGCAGTTATTCAAAAGACTCAACGCTCGTACCTATTTAAATCCAAAAATCAAGGAGAATGAATCTGACAGCACAAGAGAGTACAGATACAGTATTTAATAAGCATTAAATACTAAAAACGTTAGAGAATCTGTATTAAATTACAATGATTATGTAACGTAGCATTTAATGCCTTTAATTGTCTATAATAGCCTTATTATGACAAAGGCAAAACGTATATCTTAGAGATAGCTATAAAAAGGAGAAGACTGGTCATTTTTAAGGACACGAAATATCAACTGAATATACTGATTTACTTTGTTTTTTGCTATCTTTCTTATTGTTATCAAAATCAATTTCTTCTGTTCATTTTTTATTATCAGTAACCCGCGTTCTTCTAAAAATAAAGCTTTGACCGAAATTTTATTGTTTGGTTAAACAATATTATGGATGAATGTCACCATTAATTTTGTAACTCCAGAAAATGCTAAAGAAGTTGGATGAAAACAGATAATAATGTTTTCTTGATTGGACAATGAACCAAAAAATCAGCAAACAAATCTTTCAGGTGACTTCATCAAAGATTGACAAAGTAGCCAAAATGGCATCAAAGAGAGTCAAAGAGAACTCCAAAAATAAAATTTATACATAAGTTTCACCCGAAATAATAACCAATTCTAGCTAATGGAATGAACTAGCTAGACAACCAATTCTAAAAAAAAAACACAAGAATTTTAGTGTGTAGAAAATGTAACACACTTATAAAAATTGTTTGCTTTTTAAAAAATCTTGTGCTAAGGATTAGATAGAATGTAAAATTCTTGATTCCGGATGAAAAGACAAAAGGTAGGTAGAGGCAGAGAAGTTGAAAATATCTATATTTTATACAAGAATACATGCAAAATCAGAATTGAGTAATGGTTATCTTTACAATCTTCTACCAAACGGGATGTTTCTAATATCATCCAAAGTACATATGTGTACTAAAATCCACTAAAATCATGCAGCTGAGGAGGCACTAGGTTTAGCATGTTTCCTTCTAGTTGCTCTAATATAACAGACAATAGCCACAAAAAATGCAGTGGCTAAACCCCCAAGAATAACTCCACCTCCATAAAAAGACTTGTCAATTGAATGGTGATGGTGTTTCTTCTCAATATGAATATCCTGTGATTGAGCAATCCTATTGTGTTCATTTTCAGAACCAACCTCCTTAGGCTTCTTTTCTTCTCCTTTCTGTGGTGTAGGCGCAGCTGCAGCAGAAGATTTAACCAATTTAGGTTGGTGTTTTTCAAGTTTTCGAATTGAAGCCGATGGACTAGGAGCTGGGGTATTTGCAAAAGCTGTTGCAGTATCAGCCATTGCTAGATATACAACAGCTTCTGTCAAGATCAAATAAAGAAGAAAATTTTTAGACATGGTGATCAATTCTTGATATTCTCAAGTTGCTTTTAAGTATTGTCCTTTGCAACATTATATATATAGAGCTATAGAGTGGAAGATCTAACAGCCATGTAGTTTGATGGAAAGTTCCCTTTGTCTTGATTCAAGAAAAGAGTTTGAAGAATAAATTAGTGTTTGTTATAGAATTGTCTGCAAAATAGGGGAAACAGACCAAGTCACACGTGAAAACTATAGAATATTTGCAATGCATCTGGACTTAAATGAAGGGAACATGATGTTTATACTATGTTTATTTGTTTAAGTTTGTGATGCATAGTTGCTTTGAAATATAACCGAGTTTTGAATAATACAGTCAAACATCTCTATAATAGTTTTGTTTGTTCCGATATTTTTTGGTTGCTACAGTGAACTGCTGTTATAAACATATATTATAACGTAACATAATAATTTAGTTCCAAAGAAAACTGGTTGTTAATTATAGTAAAGTATTGTTGTAGAGGATGATTATTATAGAGATGTCCGACTATATGTGGAAGATGACGCGAAGTTAGAGTTTTATTTTTGGGAGGTGGCCTTTACTAATTTAATCTATGGCTTCTTTCTTTACTCAATGCATCTCCTGAAATTATGGCACTTCAGAAACTCGAGCCACCACCGCCAAACAGCTGTGCCTAACAGTTAAAATTATTATCCCGTTATCGTTGGTATTATAATATAATAACGCAGTAAGAAATAGAATTCACTAAATATGTACAAAAATTAGGTTGATAGAGTGATTATGGTTCATTTTTTATAGTGTGATTAGGTTGAGCAGCATTTAACTCGGCAGAAATTACATGATTTTCTAGTTTGGTGCTGGAAATTATGTGGCATAGGAATCCATGACTTCAAGTTGCATTTTGTTTTAGAAAGGCATAGACATAAGCAGTTATTTCTAACATTCTTAAACAAGCAAAGGGTTCTTCTTAACCCTTTGTTTATTCATTTTAATCACTAAATTAAAGTGCCTTTAGAATGGGGAACAGTGGATATTCAAAAAAACTTGGAAATAAACAATATTGATTATATATAAACTATATTATAAAGTATAATTTCCTGTCAGTGTACTGTCTTTGTATCATAATTAAGAACTTATTGCATTGGCTTTAAACAGAGATTTGCTTGGCAATGCCGAAGGGAAGCGTTGGACCAACGGTAAAGTTGTCTCCGTGTGATTTATGAGTCATGGCTTCAAGTTATGGAAGCAACTATTAATGCATGCATTAGGGTAGGTTGTCTATATCACACCACTTGGGGTGTGGCCGTTCTCGGACCCTACGTGAACACGGACACCCTGTGCACCGAGCTGACTAAAAGAAAGATTTGCTGGCAATGCCATGGCCAGCTGATGACTCTGAACTAGTCAAAACTCAAAACCAGCAGGAGGAGATGAGTTTGTTAGTTGCACGTGCACAGTGGTTTTGGACAGCCCCCCAACCGTGGACATTTTCAAGAAGCAACTGAGAAAGGCCACATGACATCTCTTTAAATGCAAAGTACAAAACTCACAGTTCCTATAATATTTTATAGCTCCCTGCGTCTCAAATTATCTGATGTGTTTCTCTTTTACACGTCCAATTAAAAAATATTAAATAGGAAATATTTTTGACTATTTTACCCTTATTAAAGTCTTAAGACATAATCTCTCTTCATTTAATGCTTTACTCATAATTAAAATAGTTGTAGTCTTCAAGAACAATTAATATTACATGTTACTCTTGAACTTCTAAAATGACAAATAATTTGAGACAACTATTTTTAGAAACCACAACAAATAATTTGAGACGGAGGGAATAGTAAATTTGGCATAACTTTTGATTCATCTTACGCTGAAACCCAGTACTTAATTAGCTTTACCCCTTCCAACATCAGTGAGGAGTAATATGCATCTGAAAAATTTGGTGGCACTCAGTGTTTAATCTGCGCAAATGAATGCAAGTCATGCATCTTGCGCATTTAAGTTATTTTCACTTTTATTTGTAACTCTTACTCTTGATTTGATTGTTGTGGTGTGAGCACATTGATAAACCAAGACAAGAATTTGTGAGATGAACTCTGACAGAAATTTGGAACACAAAAAGAGCTTCTTTATTGGTCGATTAGAACATGATCAGTTTCATTATTGATCGGTAAGTTGAGCATTTTATAGATCTGGCCAAAAATACAAAAAAAATTCAAGAATCATTCAACGAAACAGCCAGCTAATATTCAGAATACTCAGAACTCTGGAGACCTCAAATCACAGCAACGGGTTCTTTGCCCCTGCGGCGATAGAGCGATAGAAATTCTTCTGAGTACTCATGAGAAGGTGTTGACTCTTATTCCTTGGGGTAAATATCAAATGACTGCTCTGTTTCTGTGCTCACAAAAGCTAGGTAGTGCATCTTATTTAAGATTCAACATTTTAGAACCAGCCACTAAAGACTATATAACAATCAAATAAACATTTCACAACACCAAATTCGCAAAAATGGGTGGAATGTCATTATGGTTCTTAGTCAATGGCCATTAACGTCAAACCTGGGAATTCTAAACAACATACCTAGTTTAATCCCACGAGTGGTGTCTAGGGAGGGTGAGGTATATGCAAACCTTATCCTTACCTTGTGTGAGATAGAGAGATTGTGTCCAATAAGCGCTCGACTCAAACCTGGGAATTCTAAACGATCCAACTAAATCCAAACCCACTGCACATAATGGATAACTTACAAATTTTACCAGAGTAGAAGTCAGCCAGTTTTTTCCCCAACTTTAACAGAGTTTGATTCACGTAAACAAGTGTCTAGAACTGATCTCTCTCAGGAACGAGAAATCTTCAACCAAGTGAAGTAAGTCGGTGCTGGCTCAACATGATTTTTCTAAAAACTATTATACCCTTAAAAAGATATAGTACATGATACATGAAAACTCAGGCTAAACAGTAATGTAAACTTGATTTAACCTTCTCAAGCATAATAGGTTATCTTAACATAACTCATAAAAAGTCATTGTAACCAGACAAGGGAAAATGAGAAAGGAAGAAAAAAGAAAAAAAGAGAGGAAATAACTGCTTCAGTCAAAGCCCACTCAATCCACTTTAGAAATCATGAGGCCCCTCATGCTGAAAAGGCTCAAGATTTAGATAAGAAGCTTCTCAATAGCATCCTGCATCATAAGAAAAGAGAAAATCCATTTCGGTATTAAAATAAAGGAACGAACTCAACAAAATTCTAGAAATAATCGAAAAGAAATCCTTCATGACGTTACCTTTAATTGCTGAATTTGTGATTTCAACTGACTTCCCTCGTTGCTTGTTACAGAAGCAGCAATCACAGGTCGAGTAACACCACATGCTCGACCAAGAGCTTGCTTCGAGGGAACAAAAACGTATGGAACATTCTGAAAATTTGAGAGAAACAATAATAAGAAAAGTTTAGCAATTAGCAGCATTTCTTGAATAATAGAATTAAAATTGACACTCATCTCAGACGCAATTCTATTTACCAGAGGTAGGGCTAATTAGCACCAAAACGAGGAAGAATTGCAGTTTGATAGTATAATAAGCATGGTCAACACAGCAAAGCAGGGAAAGTTAATTTAAATATGCACACGACTAATAACACTATTCACTCGAAGACTAAATACTAGAATTTAAGTGTAACCTATCACTAACAGAAAACCTGTGAAAAAATCAGGAAAAGCAAAATCACTTCGAAAGCAGTGTCTTCCCAACACTTCAAAAGAAAGAATCATAAACTTAAGTAATTACCCTCTTCCAGCAAAAAAAACTACCTATCTTCACATTTCTAAAATCCTAGAACTTTTCCCTTCTGAAAATTTAATGTGATCGACTACATGACAATGGAAGTTCATGGCTCCAAGCATATTTAAAGAACCTACCTTGAATAGTTCTTCAAATAGACTGACAAGGAACTTCATTTGAACTACTAAGTCACAAAGATTTCAAAATATGCAAAGAAATTGAGCCGGAAAACCTATGTGTTAGACTTATAGAGGTATAAGAGTGTGCATACACATGCTCAATCTTCTTGTTTTAGATTGTTTTCCAAGCCAAATAAAGAGTAAACATCAGAAAAAAGAATAACACAAGAAACAGCCAGAAGACTCTTTTTACATACAAACTCTTATGTGGCTGGAATCCACTTTCTCCATCAACAGAACCTTTCTTTAGGGGGAGGGGTCGCATGCAGGGTTGGGGGTCGGGTAAGAGGCATTTATATTGCTAAATAGAAAGCCCATCTCTCTGATAACCAGTACTGCAGAGGATAAGGGACTGGCTCCAGCTTGCCTATTCTATAACTCTTTGTCCTGTACTTAAGCTTTTCAGCATTGATATCCTCAAATATCACTACATTATCCTTATATGTCCCCGGTAGATGGTAATCATATCACAAAACAAGGTGAAATAGCATTTCGTGTAAGAGAATACTAAACACTTTCTCATTTTGATATTAGCTGAGTTAATAAGAATAACCGCGCTTCATTCAAGACGCAAAGCTATTAAGCTATCAAAGAAAAACTGCACTTCACTCAAGTAATCAAGCTATTAAGCAACCAAAGCTAATTTCCTTTTTCTTTTTATAAATAAGAAAGCAAACAACAACTATGCATCAATCCTAAACGAGTTGGGGTTGGCAATTTATAAATAAGCAATCAAAGCATTTTATGCATGAGTTTGACAGTCCAAACTCCATAGTGTATAATAAATACGCCAAAAAAGGTAAAAAAGAAAGAAAAAAAATTTGTTACCTTATCCTCAGCAAGGAGTGGGAGGTGAAGAAGGATTTCAAGGGGCTCTGTATCAGCTGCCATTACAACAAACTCCGCAATCCCTCTGTTTAGTGTCTTAGTGGCTGAAACAAAACCAAACCCAGTTTTCCATTATATCAATAAGCAATTCGTACACTAAAAAAGACATAAAAATTGAAATTTTCCAAATAGTAACTAACCTTCGTTAGCACCCTTTTTAAGCTGCTTATAGTTGGCAGCTTGTTGAACCAAGTCCATTATCGTTGTAGTAAGCTGCGCATCCGCAAGTGGGTATGCTTTTGGGTTCACTGTTTCTGTAGTCTACAGTTAAACATTTTCACAAAGTGAAAAAAGTCATTAGCTTTTAGGGATGAAACACAATAACCAATCAAATGAAGATGACCAACAATTACACACACACACACATAAAAAAAATAAAAAAGACATAGAGAGAAAGAGAGAGTACCATGGTGGCGGAGAGTTGAAAAGGAGGGAGCTGCAGTTAGGGTTTATGGAAGTCTTTGCTTCTTTGCCTTGCAGAAATTGCTAGGGTTTTAAGGGAGCGAAAGGGGCTGTATTTAAGTTATTTCAGACATTTATTAATAAAATAAAATGGGGTTTTATTTGGTGGCAGTTTTGATCCCTCATTTTTATTAAATTATACATTTAGTCCTTGTGATAGTTCAGTAACAGTTAAAGTTCATTAAAATTGTGAAGATTAACAAGTAGAAGTATTAAAAAGTATAAATATCAATTAACTGAAGGTTACAAATGCTTAACAATATATTACGATGACCTAAATAACAAATTGTTGGTATTTTTGTGGCTAAAAGTGTAAATTCGTCATACTTTTATTACGTAGTAAGTAGTTTATTTATACCTTCTCAACAATTTGAATTTGTTTATCAAGCTTTAACTATCAGTGATTACGTGATGTCCTAATTCATTATAAAATAATAAAAGAAGAAGAAGAGTATTGCAGAGAAAAGTAGAGAAGGAATTTTTATTGAATTTTGGGATGAATTACAATGGGAATAGAAGCCTCTATTTATAGGGAGAGGGTGACTTAGCCACCAAGCAATGAACCCTAGAATCTCTCTAAATATAGACATTCACCATAAATACAATTCTATTTATAACACTCCCCCTTGAATGTCTATTCAACAGATAATGTGCCTCGTTAAAACCTTAACTAAAATAAAACTCAGTGGGAAAAAAATTCTAGAGAAGGAAAAAGAGTACACATGTTTAGAAATACGCCTTTTGGTTGCCTCATTAAAAACCTTGCAAGGAAAACCCAGTGGGACAAAACCTTGTAAGGGAAAAAGAGAGCAACGCGCATTAACTCCCCCTGATGAGAGCGTCAATTCACATCCTTGAGCCTTCGCATCCCAATCTTGTGCACCATCTTCAAAAGATCTTTGGTAGATATTTGATAGACAAATCAGCCATATTAACTTGAATGAATATATTGCACCTTGAAATCATCATTCTTGATAGAGATATAATATCTTCATAAATATCGTAGAATGGCTCTTCAATATCTCCATAGAGATATCCTCGCTATCACATTATCATGCTTATAGTTATAGCAAGATACATTTGTGCATAAATTGCATTGAGGATGTAGTACTTCATGACCATGAATTCTATATGCTTTAAGCAATTTAAATCCTTCAGGGATTTTTAAGTCATATAAGCCATATAATAGACTTTAGATGCATACCAAGTTTTCATATCATGCTAGACAAATAAGATATCGAAAACTAATTGCACATATCATTGGCTTCATACTTTCAAGTGTTTGAACTGAAGGTCCAAAACTATATGTCTTTCGTATGAAACAAATTCTATTCGAATTGTGTCTCTTCCATTTGGCCAATATTTTTGTGTCTATATTCGACAGACTTAAGATCCTCGTCTATACTTAGCGCTAATATAGATGTCGTCGACAAACATTTTATATCAGTTCCAACCTCCTTATTTTTCATAAAGACATGACATAGAGATCTCTTCATTCATATTTTCAGGTACCTGAATCTCTCATGAGATTTTATGAAGTGTTATGTCATGTGATCTTCTAGATCACTTGCCTCCTTTATTATGATCATTTTGATCATTTGCTCATCTTCTTTATCAAGAAGTTTATTTGAAACTGATTGTCTATACGCTTTAAGCTTACTATAGACTTTGTCCTTCTAGGACTTAATAGGAGCATTTGCAATAAGAATATAGTTAGTTTCTTTGGGTCAGCAAATGCGTCTGGCATGCTTTGCAATAAATTACACATGAATTATCCTTTTATGAACTTCAAGTTCATATTATTTTATTCGGGGATCTAGATGTATAAATGATAATTCATTCCATGTAACTTTTTCTCAACTGTTGTATCTTGTCTCCCCCTCATGTTAGAAAAACTAACTTGTTTCCTCAACTTTGAGAACTCATCTTTGTGCGTTATGGTATTAATCAAAATATAACCCGCACATGAATAATAATAAGATGAAATTATTTGGTTCCTGACCCTGAACCACTTGTGAGGGGAGAAAATAATATACTTTCGTATATAACATATATCAAATTGATATAGATAACTTTGTTCTCATAAGCAATTGTTTAGCTATTAAGTAGAGGCACTTAATAAATCATTTTGCTAAACGAACTGTGATGTAAACCAACTTATCAAGATGAACTTCTTGAATAAAAAATCTGGAAATTATGCTCGAAATTAAATTATTGAGCAAGCTACCTCGCAAACACCAAGTTGCGGGTTAATAATAATCGCACATGTAACCATCTCATAGATGCATCTTATGGGGTATACATGGCAGGTGAATGGGCTCATATTCACCTTTGATATTTCCAGCATTCATGGGATTCAATCCCAATTTTAATTGGTCTATTAATTAATGAGAACAAGCAATGTAAGAGAATTCATAAAGAACTTTCTAGTTCTTTAATATTTACCCATGTGAATTCTCTTTTATTTTTTTGCACATCATGCTTAAATTGATATGGGTAAACCAATTATGCCAACTGAATAAATTATCAATATTGATAAACTTCAGGTTTACACCATGATGTGTGCAATTATGAATAAACTCCAAGTTTATTATGATATGGGTTTTTATATCAATAAATATCCACTTCATTGTGATATTCTTTTGTTTATGTAGTACAAATTGGAGAATAAAACGGGTAGCTTTTCACATATATATTACCCCGCTACAAGTTGTAGTAATAGAAGATATTAAATCTTTCCTTTATTTATAGTCTCAATATAATCAATCGCTTATACTTTGGAAACTGAATAAGTTTCTTTGAGACTTACTACAACACAATACCTTATTGGTAATCAATTGTGTTTCTCCAAAATAGTAATAATTGGCTCTTTCAAAGCTCTCAATTAATTTGGTACTACCACATATTTATCAACATCCATATGGTGAATATCTCTTTTAAAGAGAAAGTTATACCATTATGGTTATGGTCAAAATTATATACAAGATCTGTTTCTTGCATTACCGTTGTCTTTTAACAATCACAATTCCAAAATATTTTGGCGTACAATAGGTACGTGACCAATGACCATTCATGCCATAATAATGACATTATTTTCTTATATCATCTCAAACCTTCTTTTAGAGGTAAGTGCGGTATATTCACTACCACTAGCATGTTCATATTCTTTGAAGAATGAATATGTATTCATAAATCAGATGTTGTCACATTCACATCATGAATGGACCATCATCTATATGTGCTTTGTAAAATCTCATGTCAAATCGATGACAAATATTACTTTCATAGAGTGAAGGATTATTTTGAGAATCCTTATTATTCTCATTATCACAATGATGACGATCATAATTTCGTCTATTGCCACATCCACATCCATTGATACATTCATAGTAATAATTTTGTCTTCTCTCAGACTTATCACATACTGCTATCACATTCTCTTAAGGAAAAGAGAATGGAGCAAATTCAATGGGACGGGTTTTTACTTTTTGTGCCCATAATCATACATGAATTTGATCATGGCAAGACATAGAAATTTTTACCACTTCAGGTGGTTATAATTGTTGGGTTTTGGATGTGTTTAATTAATATATTAAATACTTAAAAGAGGGTGAATGGGAAATGGAGGGAAATAAAATTTTTGAGTGAAATTTTAAGTTCCCCCCCCCCCCCCCCCCCCCTTGGCAAATGGGCATTGTCCCATATTGGAAGAGGAAGAGGTTTTTTATGGGTATATAAGCAATTGCTCTTCTTCTAGCTCTTAAAGAGTTGAGAAGAAGGCAAGCGTCGCGCCGTCGTCGTCGTCGCTCGCTCGGCTCGGCTTCGGCTTCGGCTACGGCTACGGCTTCGGCTTCAGCTTCGGCTTCGGCTTCGGATTCGGATTCGGATTCGGATTTGGATTTGGATTTGGTCAAATGATCGATTGATTGATTAACTTTTTGGACCAAATTTATTTGTTAATAGTAAAATATTAACATAAATGTTATTAAATATTTATTTTAATAACAAAATATTAATATTAAATCCAATCCGTTTTTCTGTTTTGGTAACAGAAAAGTAACTACCCTCTTCAATTTTCCCTCTTTATTATTGAGTAAATGGCCATTTATGTAATGGCATTTATGCTGTGGGCGTTTTGCATAAATAGCCATTTTGAAGAGTTGCACCTCTTCAGATTTCAGCCTAACTTTGGCTATAAATACAACACTATTCTGCTCAGAATTTCACTACGATTTTCTGAGTTTCTTCTCCTTCTTCTGCATACTTTTAGCATCAAACAAAGCAAAAAGTAAGTGTGATTTGCTACCGAACTTTGTGTTCGCTGAAACACTGGGGTTTGACGTACCACTACACCAGTGTGTAATTCGTTCTATCCTGGGAGGAAATAATCCATAACCTTGGGTACTAGGAGGGGATTAAATTCCTTAAGAAAACACTGTGAATTCAGTGGGCTCGAATTGGTTTTATGTCATTTCTGTTTATGTTCATTTCTGTTTATACTCATTTATATTTCCAGAATTATTTTACAAATACAGTCTAGTAACAATAATTTCTAACAAACTCCATTAGAGTTATAATCAAAATTTATTGTCTTTGCTTGTATTTAAAATTAAATTACAGAATAAAAGAGAAAAATACGGTAATATACATACCTTAAATCCAGAATTTAATTATGAAGGAAATTCATAGAACAATTGACAATCATTATGATCAATCCCAAAGCTTCTACTCAATTGGTTAGAGTCTCGTGCTGATAACGTGTTATAAAATAATAAAAGAAGAAGAAGAGTATTGCAGAGAAAAGTAGAGAGAGAATTCTTATTGAATTTTGGGATGAATTACAATGGGAATAGAAGCCTCTATTTATAGGGAGAGGGTGACTTAGCCACCAAGCAATGAACCCTAGAATCTCTCTAAATATAGACATTCACCATAAATACAATTCTATTTATAACAATTTTTTGTTTATTTACATACTTTTTACTAGATATGTGGTAATTTTAGTGGGCGGTTGAACATAAGAATTGTCAAATTCAAAAAAAAAAAAAAAAAAAAA